GCAATTGAAAAAAACGGCAATTTTCGACCATTTTTGAGCTCTTGTGCATAAACAAATTATCGGAATTTAAACTGACTATTTTCATTTTATAGGCTTATTTAATACCTACCTTTTTTGTATAAACTTTTTTTCGCTATAAATAATAGCTTTTTACGTGAGTCAAAAAAACACTTTCCATAACTTTGACTACTGTTAAAACAAAGTTTCCCAACTAGCCTCGAGTTGATTTTTTGATATTTTATTTATAACAGGTTTCGAACAATATTCCGCAGAGAAACTGCTAGTAGTATTTTTTTCTCGAAACAGGCTCTTTCATGTCTATAATGATTGGGCTATATTAAAATTAACAGAGTTAGGGAGGCTAGAAGTTAGGGGAAGATTTCAGAAATTTAAAAAAATCGTAAGCAGAAAAAAGGAATGAATTTTGTAATTTTTTTTTTCGATCTACTCTAAAAAATGTAACCTTTCTTTTCAGAGAAATAGATATATTTTTTAATTTTTAATAAGAAAGTTATAACAATTTCAAATTTGTTGTTCACCCCCCCTAAACGGAGATTTTAACGAAAACCTCGAAACAGGTCAATTTAATTTTGTCAATTTGTTTACATAAATCATATTTTTAATTCTTTATGAGTAAATATGATTTTTTTATAAATAAAAAATATAATTTTTCTGAAATAAAAAATACTGGTAGCAACCCCCAAACACGGAATCACTTGCGAAATATTTGTTTTTTATCATAAGTCATTTTCATTTTGTTTCATTTGAAAATATTGATTAGAACCTCAGAAATTTTGAAAAAACTGTTTTGGGGGGCGAACTTTGAGTGTTTATTTCACCCCGTAAATATGTTTTTCCGCCGATAAAAAAAATACATGTCTACATTTTTTGGAGTAGATTGAAAAAAAATACAAAATTCATTCGTTTTTCTGCTCGTTATGATTTTTTTAATTTCTGATATCTTCCCTTAACTTCTAGCCTCCCTAACTCTGTTAATTTTAATAATACAAGAAAAAGTCTAGATGCCATTTTTATGTAGAATTTTATGCTCTACAACTTATTTTTCTAGCTCTTACCCCTTTGGAGTTAACTTGAAAAACGCCTTTGTTTTATTTTTTTTCACCCTTGGCCGGGGGTTGAACAAAAAATCACTGTCACTTATCGTTATTATATACCTCAAACTAACTCATATCAAAAATTCAGGCAAGTTGGCCAAAATTTCGATTTAAAGGCTTATTTAATTGGACTATATAACAAGTATGTACAGTATATCTACGGATAGAGTGATAAATGGAAATACTTTTTTATTTTCCGTTTTCCAGAAGAAGCTTTGCTTGTACTTAAAATGACGTAGCAATGGAGAAACCCCCCTTTATTTTTACACTTTCGAAAAAGTGATGCAAAAAGAGTTACTCCTGTTTCAAATATAACAATTCGCACGCAAAAAGAAAATAATAAATACGTATAAAACGTATTAAGTTTAGAAAAAAATGTATAAAAAAACATTATTCAAACGTCTTCTAAATATATGGACTCTACAGCCCCCCTAAAACGTTTTTTAGATGGTTATTGTCCAAAAGTGTGCTGTACACATTCTATTTGAGTCTGTTCCTCAAGTAAGAAAGAGTCCATGATGGTTAAATCTGGATGCCGATCTGAGGGAAAAATCTAAATTCAGTTTGCTCCATAAAATCACTGGTTACATTAACTTTATATTATTTGCTGTAAATACTGTTCGAACTCTCTATCAATATTTTTTAGTTCTAAATTTATAATATAATTTTGTAAAATTTTGTGAAAATCGGTGAAAATCTGCCTTTCTAAAAATGTTAACATTAACAGGGCAGTCCATTTAAAAAACTGTGTATGTATCTCTAAACATAATGTAGATATCGGAAATTAAAGTACGTCATTGAAAAGAATAAAAATACTACAAAAACTTTTGTTAATTAATTTTGTTAATCAAACTTATGCTTCACCCTGTACACATTCGCCAAACCCTGTATACTTTTACTGTAAAATTAGCACGTTTACGATAACTAATTTTAAACGAAGTAGTGACACAAGTGAAGAATAAAATGTCATTTTATTCTTATTAAATAATTATAATTTTAAATAACAAGCAAGATTTTTTTATAGAAAATATTTATTTCCCATAACGGAGAAAAAGTGTACAAAGTGTACCAATCATATTATTTTTCACACTTTGTTGAAAAATTATAAATATTTAAAAATAACTGCATTTCCTGTTAAGTCAACTAAAGTGACTTTTTGACATTTAGGAAAGAAAACTAAAATACAATTTTGTAACGGTTTAAAAAAAAACTTCCTCGACTGGTGCTGGATGCATTTATCCTCTTCCTAGTTTTCAATTAAAAAAATATATATCTAATGGTTAACTATTGGTCATTTAACGTTTTTATATTAAAGAGATAAAGATCTGTGAATCCAACTTCTTCCGAACATTTTTATCCACTTTTTTTACAGTTAAGGTACATTTCTGGTCCATCTTATCCTGTATTATAAATGAGACTTTTGACGTTGACGAATGGACTGATATCGAATGTTTTTATTAGGCCGTAAAAACATATTTTCTCGCGCCCGTCCCGAACTAAGAATAACAGTCAGAAATCACCAGAAGTTCGCACCCACACTCGAATACGTTAAATTACACTTCTATAAAGTTCCGCTAGTAACTTACCGGGAGATTCGTTTGAAAAAAAAAATCCGAGTTAAGGAATTCCTTATATCGCGAGGTTTTGGGAATTCGGGTGATCGGGCTACAGGAATTTTCACTTTCCTTTATCGAATAAGGAATACTTCGCGTTACTTGGGATAAACGTTGTTTGCTTTCCATCCGTATCGATCTTTCGTACAGACGGCATAATGTCCTTCAACGAAAGCGAAGTTAAGTAAATGTAAATCTAAATGCTATCTCTACTCCCACTTTCTTACTTTATTAGAATATAACACAAAAAAAAAAGTTGCTCGAAAATAAAAACCGCTAAAGTCCAGTGTAATGAAATACCATCAAATTAAATAAGTACTCGACAGGGTTGACTTTTATTCATCTATTATATAGGTGTCTCAAAAATATGTGTCAAAATTAAATACACGAATAAAATGTTGGTCCTTTTTTCTGAGACATCCAGTATATAAGATGCGTTGTCCATATTATATAAACGAGAAAGCAAAGGTTGAATTCATGATTAACCACATGGGAGTTTAGTGCATAATCTTGTCCTTATTCAGTAACTTCATCAGCGGAAACAACATAAAACAGCAATAGAATTAAGCCGCGAATGATACGCACGAAGTGAAAACTATTGTACATTGTAGTCCCGTTCTGCAAGAAAAACGCGATCAACGACAGGTAATTCATATTATTAAATCCAGATGGTGTCTGGAGAAAACAAGGAGCAACGGAAACCTTACTTTTTTTGCCCCCCAGAATGGTACATAGACAAATTTCTTCGCCTTCGACTCATAAATCTTTCCCGGGCCCCACCGACTCACAAATGCACATTTGAAATTCATTACCGTCCCTTTCAAACACAGCACCATTAATAACACTAAACGCGCCTCCCAAGGATATCGCGATTTCCCTTTAATAACCGCGGGAAGTTTAATAATACGCGCATAAAAACCCCCATCGTATCTCTATTAATAACGGCCGGATAACCTGGGCCGCCGAAAATGATACACGGCTCTACGCCCTACACCGGTAATTAATAGTTTTTCCCCCGGTACCCGTATTAAAATTTATAACTGAACGATAATCGCCTTATTTATGGAAATCTGCCGCCTGCCCCTAGCAGCCGCATATTGTACATGATTTATCTAAGGTCGAATTAAATATTTTATTAATTACGCTTCTGGGACAGCAATCGCTGGATATCGTCGTTAATTTACGTAATGGGTCCTAAAAATGGCGCCTTACTTACGGTGAATCAGTTCAATGACAAAAATTTTATCTTTATTCTCCAACAAGGCTGATAAATAGGCTTAGTGCGGCGCAGAGTTTAACAGGACCGTCGTCAGATTACCAATGAAAATATTGATATGTTTACTACTATTACTATTACCAAAGAGCAAGGTTAACTGGAGGATACAATACCTATATAAATTTAAATGACGCCACTTACCCGATAAACCTTAGTGTTGAGAGAAAAGCTATAACGACTAATAGTGGACATCACGCAAGCCAAAAGGCATGACAATATATTCGTTATCTGGACGAGGCATGGCTCTTCAAATATCTTGTCACTTTAGTTTTGTAACAAGAATTTATAATGCGTTCACACACAGTACAAAACAGTTCATTTCTTCTCTCTTTAGGCATTTTACTTCGCTTTTCCCCCCAAACTAATAGTTGTTAATGTAAATTATGTTACTATTTATAAATAGTTATTTAAATACACACGGTGAATACAATTTACAGCAGAGGTAAAAAAGAAATATATCGACGCGACACCAACTACTACAAAGTTCCGTAAATAACTGAACAGTTCAAAACGCGAGTCAGGCTCTGTAGGACTCAGCACGTGTACTAAGCCTACTGATAAAATATACAATTATAAAGATAATATTATTTATTATTTAGTCACCTGCCTTGACAACTAAACCGATGGTAGGCCCATACTATCCTGATTTTATGGCTATGGATTTTATATTATATCCAAGTTCAGCAAGTTTCAATAAAAATGGGACACAACATAATGCCAAACATGCGTTCAACAAATTTTGCTTACTTTCAATCAACAGACTGGAAAATCCGAAAATATTTCTGAAACTGTTACACCAATCTAGTACAAAATGTTAATAGATATGTCTTTCAGAACCATAATTTTAATACATTTTGACTCAGCGATAGGGGAGCTAAATGCACCGCAAAAGCTATAACGACTAAAGTGGACATCACGCAAGCCAAAAGGCATGACAATATATTCGTTACCTATTCATTCTATGAAGAGAAAATTTATTGGTGGTTTTTGACTTACATTTCCAATTCCTCGCCTTCGCCCATCACGCTGCGCACAGGCACGTAGATAATGGTCGTGACCAGGGGAATTCCCCAGCCTATCACCATCATACCCACCAGCAGGTTGCTTTGCGATATGAATGCCCACACAAGCACGGTGTGCAGATAGAGGCCTTCGCACAGCATCCAGGAGTAGTTGGAGATCAGGCAAGTGTAGAGGATCGTGTGTAGTGCGATGCACCAGGGCTGTAACAAAATGTGCATTTTAAATTTTTTGTGATGCACCAGGGCTGTAATAAAATGTGCATTTTGATTTTTTTTTGTAAGGGGATTATTTTAAAACTAATATATAGTAGTAAGATGGGGGTGAGAGAAACATGTAAAATTAATTCGGTTCGCCGGTTCTTTTATTTTTGGGAAAAGAACGAACATAATTGGTTGTCGAAAAACGCAGGTTTAAAAAAAATCATAATTTTCTCAATTTTGACGGCAGGTAAAAATATATAGATGTGTCATGCAGGCACGTGACTGGTAATTAAGGATTTATCATCATAGATATAGTTGTTTATAATTAATTTCTTATTTTTTTTATATCCCACTCCTGATTTAACCACAAGTCGAGATTATCCCAACTTGTCTACATCAGATCCATCACGTCGCAAGTCAGCCATCCTGTCCCCTCTTCAATTTTCATAAGATCATATCTGCCCTGCAAATCACGCCATTAATTCTATATATGCGGCCGGGTGAGTGGTGTTTATGTCGCCATGAATTATTACTATGACGTACTTGATGTGGGTCGCTATGGTATTTCACTATTAGTTTGCTCACAAGCTCACATCGGGATCCGTCACGATTTATATACATGAGCAGGGTAAAGGCCATCACTTCTGAATTGAGCAGGAAGAGCGACTTTGCCGATTAACATTCGTCACCTGTTACTTGAAACCGAGCTTTATTGGGAAAACAAACGAAGTCTTAGTTGGCGATCAAGTCATGACAATTGAATCAATATAATTATTTCATGTTAATATTTTTAAATTTATTGACTTTTAAAGATAATTAAGAAAAACCCATTTCAAAGTAACAGCTTCAACACCAGTTTTTTTCCAGTTGGTTTCCAGTTTATTTGAATCTGAAGGTATATTAACTTCAATGTGCCTGACAGCGCAATTCCCGTCAGGTGTATTTACAGCAGCTTTCAGTGAGGATGGTTTTATGACTGGCGGTAGATTAAAAAGGTACCCAAATCCCGTGCTACCTACTTCATTTGGCGCACTCTTACAGCCAAGCGGATGGTTTTGAATCATATATTCTTACGAATATCGCGGCGTGGCAAGCAGAAAGGCCCTATTCAATTAAGGAAATCTTTTCAGGGCGCGCGAACATTACCGAAAGTTTATGTATGGCAACCCTTTCATCGAGATTAAACCCGCTGTTAGGCTTTTAAGAATGAAATGTATGCTCGCGTGAGATAAAAAATTGCTTTTTTATTCCGAGTTGCTCCTTTCTCAATATCTGTTATAGAATGTAAAAGAATGTAGTTCCGAGAACGTGGTTCTTTATTTTTGTACTTTGTTGTGCTAAAGTTCTCAATCATTTATCACTACATTTCCACTTATTAAATTTTTACGGTTCCGAGAGATTAAGGGGCAGTATGTAATAAATGTTCCCTTCACTACCGCCAATAAGGGAATGAAACCACGTGGAGTAAATAATGATATCAAGTATTAAAAGGCGTTAGGTAAGTCAGCTCTTAGTTTTGTTTTAAAGATTATGAAGTTTAATATCCGAGTTTAATATTAAAGGCAGTTTTTATTCTTGTTTTAAGAATGCGATAGATAATTTGAACGTAATAAACAGAGAGCGGACAATTTGTGACTTTAACCTTGAATATAGATATGTCATTCATAAACCTAGATACATTACCCATGACGCAGTGGCGTGTCGAGTATGCATCGGAAATTTTACGTGATAATTCACGAAAATTCCACGGTACATACATTTTTAGGCGTTATAAAATATTTAGAAAATCAGAAAATGTATACTACATATTTATTAAATAAAGTTCTGTTAAAAATAGTGTCGTTCTTTTAATTGGAAATTAGGAGTCAATGTAACGAATAGCCTCAGGCGACGCACATGATAGAATAGTCCAACTCACGCTCCATTCATAACAGGGCTGCAGTTTGAATTCTGACCAATAGGAATTCGATAAACGCAACCGATGTCGACGGATAGACTAGAGATGGGCGCGAGTGTCATTTCATTTCTTTAGAACTAAATTAACTTAATTATTTTCTCGTTATTTAACCTGTTCACATGATTTATGGATTTTAAATAAAGGGTACAAATCTTCGCGAGGATAATACGATATATTTGCTATACATAATAATTATATTTTGCATAGTTTATACACAATACATTTTTGAACGCGTACACATCTCTACCAAAATTTGACCTATTCTTCGGGTTAAAGTCACACATTGTCCGCTCTCTAGTAATAAAACTATACAATAACTACTGTGGGGTACTACACGAAAAGAAATCTTGTCTTGTAAATAATTGCTATGTTATTGTGGCTCTACATTTAAGTGATTTTAGGTGCGATTAGGTAGCGGGAAATGTTAGAACAGTTCTTACGCCATGTTTTCTATTTTACATTTTTACAGTTTGTGAGAAAAAAACGAAGAAAAACCGGAAAAATCGAGCGTTCTCTTTTTAAATTCATTACTCCAGTCATTTTTTAAGTTGTGCAGCTAACCTTGTGCACAAAAGTAGTGAGTTACATGTACTTTAAGTGTGCACAAAGCAGGCGCTGTGGGGCCATTAGTTTTGGCACATTGGCACAATTGCAATTTGAATTTTTTGGTGCACTATTTTGTAAAATTCCTGGACGCGTCGGAACTGGTCCGATTTTAATTTTTCAGCCGGATTTTAAAGGTAAAACTATAATACTACAAAACTTATATATAGGGTGTCCCTGAAAAGGATGGACAACGCTTGACCACAGATTCCTTGGATGAAAATAAGACTATTTAGACTAACTTACATATATACAAAAGTGCACGCCTACTGAGATATAGCCTTCTAAATATAGAATAGATAACCTAGTTTTTTCAAATAATTAAATTAAATAAAACTATTTTTCTTAGAAACTTCAAATTTGATACACTTATTTTTTTATGTAAGGGCAAGGTAAATATAGAATTTGGTGAGAATACATATACAGGATGTTCTCTTTCTAGTGCCTGTGCGCCACTGGCTATCCCGTAACTTTTTTGTGTGTGCGCCAATGACGACAGAATTTACATTTTTAAAAATAAGCATTAATTTAGAAGATTTTTTTGCTCTTACAAAATTTTGATATCGTTTATGGATTTCGAGTAAAACTGACATTTTTTATACATTAAATATAGGCAAAAATTCCGATTTGTAAAAAATAATTTATAACTGCAGCCTCAAAACAGGGAATAATAATGAAAAAACGTGTCACATTAAAAAAAATAACCACATTTTTAGTATTAGTATTATCAATCAATAAAATAAAAATCAACACTAATATTTTAAATAAACAGTCTCAACTAATAATGTAAGAAAATCAACATTAACATTTTAAATAAACCTAAATTGATATTTGTAATCACATTAAAATAATATTACAGTAAATGCTCAAAGTTACTTCCTTGTTCTTAAACGCAAGCATTAGTTCTTCGAAAATTAAAATGAATTTTATCCAATAATTGTGCATTACCTCTCATAACATTAATTTCATGTTGTATTCTTTCCCATATTCGTTTTCTGTATTTACTGAAAAGTTATTTTAAACTGTGGTCGGTAACGCTCCCCAAAGAAAATAATTACATGGGTTTAGGTCCGGGCATCGAGGTGGCCATTTTATAGGGTCATTATTTCCTATACCTAGCCACCTGTTAGTATAGTAACCTGTAATAACTGGTCTTTTAATACTCTATTAACGGAACTTTTTGAAAGCTAGCCTCTGCCGCTAAACGCTTTTATTTACTTGAGGAATTTCTTCGACCCCTTCCAAAATTTGTTCCTCCAGCTGAATAGTTCCGGCCATACACTATCCACGATTTAATGTTACAATTAAAAGTTGTGATTTGGAATTCTTCGATTAGGAAAACTCAGCATATGTTCGAACAGCAGCACAACAATTTCCTTCCCAATAACCCAAAATTAATAACATATCAGTTTGTTCAGCAAAAGTATAAATTGCAATAAAAAACAAAGTAAACTAAAATTAAATCACAGCTAGCTTGACACTGAACTTTTTAATTATTGTTATGAATTTGTTTCTTTACTATATGGCACCTCGTACTAGACTATTCTATTTATCTTAATTTTATATTATTTAATTTTGTAAGAGGGAAAAATCTTCTATAATAGTGCTTATTTTAAAAAATACAAATTCTGTCGTCAGTGACGTACACACACAAAAATTACGGGATAGCCAGTGGCGGACAGGAACTAGAAAGAGAACATCCTGTATATGTATTATCACCAAATTATATATTTACATTGCCCTTATATAAAAAAATATGTGTACCAAATTTGAAGTTTCTAAGAAAAACAGTTTTCAAATTATTTGAAAAAACTAGGTTATTTGTTCTATATTTAGAAGGCTATATCTCAGTAGGCTTTTATATATAGGTAAGTTTGGCTAAATAGTCTTATTTTCATCCAAGGAACCTGTGGTCAAGCGTTGTCCATCCTTTTCAGGGAAACCCTGTACGTATACAATTTTGAATATTGTTAGTTATAGTGTAGTTTACATTTACATTTACATATTATTGTAAATGGTGATACATACAAATAATAGCAGTGTCATGAAGTGTACAAACGACTCCGATATAGCAGAAGCATCTTTGCCAATAGGTAAATATTATTGCACAATCTTTCGTGTGAATATACATATGAAGGGTACAGGAATAAAACGAGGAATGCCACAAACAAATTTTCGAGAAAAACAACTTTTTATTGTAAATTCTTCATAAGCAACTTTACAAGATGTAATAAAATTTCCTTAACGGTATACAAGGTCACCCAAATATGTATTGTTGGGAACAGAAAAGTACATTTTGTAAAAAAATTAAAATTCACGTTTGATGTCAAGATTTCACATAAATATCGAAAAATTCAGGAATTCCGAATAAAACAAGGAATGTTCACAGTTTTCATATGATTCCGTGTATTTTTCACCTATTTCCCATCATTTTATCGGA